CATAAGGAAGAATAAGGAAGGAGAAAAGCAGGGCTGCGATCGCCAGACAGCTACCTTGCTAACTCCGATGAACCTGCCACCGAGCTCTGAAATACCTGAATCTGCACACAAGGTGCAGGAGTAATGTGAGTACGCCAACTCAGTAAGTAATAAAAGTAAATAAAGACTGAGCAGTAAGAAATTACGTAAACTACGTCATAGCACCACAGTGGGTACAACATGTTTCCAAAACAGGATACAAATCAAATCATCTTGTGTAACTCCCATTATGGGAAAAATCCTTTGAAGAAAAATATCTTTCTCACAATTTCAGTAGAAGTTCAATGTAATTTATAGTGAAAAGTGATAAAAATCATAATCGACCCCACGGTCAAAATATAGTTCGTATACAGCCCCTCGGGCAAATAGAAATTCAGAACCATCTCATAACTTAAAACTCTCAGTGTAAGTAACAAGTCCCAATCAGGGGTTAAATTCCGAACACCTCGTAAAAACTCCAATTTAATGAAAGTTGTTTAAAAACATTTGTTTAACATCTTCGATAGAGGCTCAGTGTAAAGATGAGGGAAAGCAGTAATTTAATCAACATATTCAATAGAGACTCACTTTAAGGAGGAGTGAAAAACAGTAATTTCGTAAACAGGCCCCTCAGGCAAAACATCACTCGTATATCTGTATATATATATAGCCCCTCGGGCAAGCCGCTCAGTCCCTCATGACTCAACTTTCATCACACAGTACTCACACTCAGCACTCAGGCTCAATGATATCTTATAATAGTAATAATCATAATAACCGCTGCGGTGTGCAGCCCGATCCATATATATAGTCGACTGCGCTCACTGGGATTGTGCAGACTGCGAAGGGGCTCCTACAGCCCAAGCGCTATATCGCTGCGGCATGCAGCCCTATATATATATATATATATTGCTGCGGCGTGCAGCCCGATCCATAAATATATAATCCTCACAACCAGGCCCTCGACCTCTCTCATTCATTAACCTCACAATCAGACCTTTGGTCTCTCAGCCATCAACCTCAGAAGTCACTCGGACTATCAGTAAAATAGTGCATTCAGCTCAAGAATATCATTTATGGCATCAAAAGGGGTGAATAAAACCGAATTATGAAAACAAGAACATAGCATGACTGAGTATAAACATTAAACCAAAACAGTGAGGTAAAATAGTAGTAAAAGCCCATAAGGGTCCAAACAATCGGCACAAGGCCCAGACACGGCATTTAGCCCCAAACACAATAATATTTTCCAAGATATAACGATATCAAATAGTTTTCAAGTAAAATACGCGACTTAATAGTCGTACGGAATGGACCAAGTCACAATCCCCTACGGTGCACGACCCCACGCTCGTCATCTAGCGTGTGCGTCACCTCAAAGTAGCACAACGATGTGAAATTCGGGGTTTCATACCCTCTGAACAGTATTTCTAATCATTACTTACCTCAATCCGGTCCAAATACTAGCCCGCGATGCCTTTGCCTCTCGAATCGGCCTCCGGATACTCCAAATCTATCCAAAAACAGGTTTATACCATCAAAATATGCTAAGGAAACAAAGCCTACTCGAAAATATCCAATTTATACCAAAAATCCCGAAATTGGCCAAACCCGACCCCGGGCCCACGTCTCGGAATCCGATAAAAATTACACCAATAAAATCCTTATCCTCTCACGAGTTCGTACATACCAAGAACATCAAAATCGGACCTCAAATGGCCCCTCAAATCCTCAATTTACACTCTGAAAATTCAAGCCCTAATTCTCCAATTTTAGGCTTTAAATTCTACATATATCATGTTTAAACAAGCAAGAATCAACATAGGATCGAGTATTAAGACATAAATCTTACCTCCAAGTGTTCCTCCTTGTTTCCCTCTTCAATCCTCTTCAAAAAGCTCTAAATACGCACAAAAATGGAGGAACTTAGGCTAAAAGTTGCGGATATGGCCTTTTAAAACATTCTGCCCAGCTGATAAAAATCCTTCTTCGCGAACGCGGTCAAAGCCTCGCGTTCGCGAAGCACAAAATACCATTGACCAAAATTTCTCTTACGCGAACGCGATGCTTCAGTCGCTCGAACCTTCGCGAACGCGATATCCCCATTGCGAACGCGGTGAACAATGACCCAGCCCTTCGCGAATGCAGGACCCTCATCGTGAACGCGAAGTCCACCGCTCCTGCCTCACACTCCAACCCTTCGCGAATGCGAGGGTCCACTCGCGAACGCCAAGCACAATCGTCTGCAACACTAACAGCAGATTCTGCAACTTTCAAAATAAGAATTTGATCCGTTTAACCACCCGAAACTCTCCCGAGGCCCTCGGGACCTCAACCAAACATGCCAACATATCCCATATCATCATTCAAACTTGTTCCAACCTTTGGAACGCTCAAAATAACATCAAGACGCCAAGATCACATCGGATTCAAGCCTAGGAATTCCAAAAACTTCCAAATTCCGCTTTCGATCAGAAAGTCTATCAAACCTCATCCGAGTGACCTGAACTTTTGCGCACACGTCACAAATGACACAACGGACCTACTTCAACTTCCGGAATTCCATTCCGACCCCTATATCAAAATCTCACCTATCAATCGGAATCGCCAAAATTCCAATTTCGCCAATTCAACCCTAAATCTACTACGGACCTCCAAAACACATTCCGATCACGCTCCTAAATCCCAAATCACCTAACAGAGCTAACCAAATCATAAAAATTCCAATCCGAGATCATATACTAACAAGTCAAAACTTGGTCAAACCTTTCAAATTTTAAGCTTCCAACCGAGAACTGTTCTTCCAAAACCATTCCGATTACCCTGAAAACCAAAACCGACGATTTACATAAGTCATAATACATCACACAGGGCTAGTCATGCCCGAGAACTAGCGAGCGAAGTGCAAAAGCTCAAAACGACCGATCTGGTCGTTACAGTGATATTTCCTTATTTGACAATCTCCCACAAAATCTTTACGATTTCCAAGTGGTTTTATAGTAGCTTGCCACTTGGCTTAACCACAATGCAAACTTTCTTGCTTTAATATATATATAGATAATGAATATGGTTTTTCTTTCTCTTAACATAATCTTTTTATTTATTTTTAATCTTTCACTATATAACATTTGAATTTATCAATAATATTTTTGAGTATTAATTATTTATTTGCTTTATTTTATCATTTAAATTAATTCAAATTATAAATTCTCTCACACTATATTTATCCCCCTCATTCTAAATATTTCCCCTAGTAAGTATGATATTTTATTTAACTTTTTCATTTAGTGTTTTATTCGATAATAAACAAAAATAAACGTATGATCAAACTATATTGTACTTCACCATAATATTACGGTATTTTTATATTAAACTTCTAGTAATTATTATTTTTGTTGAAGCCTTTAGCCTTTAAAGAAATTATTTTTATTGTATACTTGTTTAAAATTCAGAAAACTTAGTCTAAACAGATACTTTGGATTATCCATTATGAAATAAATAAATTATTAAATATATCTACATTCTGAACTTTAGGTTAAAACCTTAAAATATATCCTTCAACTCATTAAAAAGTATATTGAATTTTTAAAATAAATTAAAATTGCACATTAGACTACAGTAGGATATATTCTTCTCACTCGATATTAGAAAAGGAATCCAAATACTATTGATATCAAAATTCTTTACTTTCCAAATAAAAAATTTCAATTAAAAAAATTAGTATAGTGATTGAACTTTATTTTTAAAAAAGGAATTCTTATTTCAATTTAATTTCAATAAATGGAATTCCATATATAGTTCTTAAGTAATATTTCCTTATTTGACAATCTCCCACAAACTCTTTAAGATTGCCAAGTGGCTTTATAGTAGCTTGTCACTTGGCTTAACCATAATGCAAACTTTATTGATTTAATATATATATATATATATATATATATATATACACCAAATTGGAGACATTGTAACATCAACATGGTCTCAACCATGTGAATTTGTGAATACAATGAAATACATGGAATACAACGAGATACATTGAAATACAATGGGAAAAAAAGTCAATGAATACAATGAAATACATAAAATACAGCGAGATACATTGAAATACAATGAAAAAAAGGTAACAGACTCTTCAAGTTGCTTAGTCCCAAACTCCATCGTCTTTGTTCAAGAACAACACTAATGTCGTCTCGTCGAGAGGGCCGCAATTCTGATTCGAAACTCTCAAAATTTGGCGCAAAAACTAAAGAAATTCCCCCAAAATTTCACTATAATTTCATTTGCAAATCCTCCAATTCATATTTCAAATATACAACCCCTCAAAAATTTCCCTCAATTCACCTTTCAATGGCAGATTTCGAACCTCCATCTTTCTCCCTAGGGCTTGATTTCGACATTGACATTGGTTCAGAGCCCTAGCACACTGACAATGAAAAATTCGCGAGACAATGGAGATGAATCAGTGGAGAATCGTGGTTGTATTCATGGAGAATGGCCGGCGTTGAGAGAGAGAGGGTAGAAAAATCTGAAAGAATGAGAGAGGAAAATAATGCAAAGCGTATTTTATGGTTTAACGGTAGGAGGTGACCATGAATAGATATTTGACTATAAAAATTAAAAGGTAGCTATGGAATATAATTTTTTTAAAGGATATTTATTAAAAGTAAATAAGGTATCAACATTTGCTATAGAAGGTGAAAATTCTTTTAACTTATGTGCATTAGTAATGAACTTAATTTTTGCACGGTTAAATTTTTTGATGTACAACAATATAAACTCCTCATATAACCTGATACAGTAACCTGACAAATCAAGTAATAGCATACAGCTATAAGTCCGCAATCAGTTAAATTATACCGATAGTATAATTTTTTTTATCCCGTATGTGTCTATAACTTTTGGATAGATTTTCCATAAATCTGCTCCAGCTCAACTATTGCTAATTAAAAAAAAAAAAAAAAGCCTTGCACAATTTCAATTTTAATCCAACTTCTGATAGAATTGTGTTTGGGCTTGGGCCCCTTCTTATCATTAGAATTGAAGCCATGGGCCGCAAATTTCCAGCAAGTGAGAAGGATCATTATCTACATCCCTATCTGTGAAGAAAACAACAAACGACGGGAACAATTCCGGCATGTTGTCGGAAATGACGTCCGACCAGGAAGATACCGGAGCTGCGGAAATTCATCCAAACAAACGGATTAAAACCCTAACCCGAAGTTCACCTGAATCCTCGCCGTCCTCATCCGACAAAGGCAAATCAAAGCTCGAAGTTTCGGATTGGGAAAACGAATGGAATTGCTGTGGAATTTGCTTGTCTGAAAGTGGACATGGCACGGGCACGATCATCAGAGGTTGTATCGATTGTTGCGACCATTACTTCTGTTTTGTGTGTATAATGGAGTGGTCTAAGGTTGAGTCCAGATGTCCCATGTGTAAACGCCGTTTCTCCACCATCCGCCGCCCTCCTAAACCTCCCGTTTTCCCTTCCGAACGCGTTGTTAATGTTCCTGTCCGCGATCAGGTTCTTTACTCTGACTTTTATTTAGTCTTGAATTTATGCTGAATTTTGTTTTCTTTTTTGGTAAAAGATTGTTTTTCTTCTAAAAGTTGTTCTGATTTCCGAATAATGTTTTTAGTGATAACTCTTGTGAGCTCTAGTTAATATACCTTAATTTGACTCATTGATGTAGTAAAACCATTAAGGCTCATGTCAATTTATGTTGAAATAAAACTAAAATTTTGCAGATAATACTGATGATTGTAGTTGTCATGTGAATTATATACTTATATTACATCTAAAGACAAACGGGCTTGCATCAGGATAACGTGTTGATAGATCATTTTAATGATGTATTAAGCCTCATTATTGCTGATTTTTAGCTCAGAATGTTGCAAACATTATTCTGTGTTAGTTGTATGTAATGTAGTTATTTGATGAAAAGTGGATGTTCATTTGCTTTATGAAAAGCTATCCTCTTGGTTTATGGTGATTGCATCATCCTGCATTTACGCTTTGGGTCCCGTGATCAAACTGCTGTTTTCACATTAGGATTCATCATTAATTTCTGATTAATTTATCTTTAGCCGATAGTCTATTAGAAACAGTACCTCCTATTATTGATCTGCTGCAACCTTTAGTTTATTGAGGTGAAGTTATGAACGTCTGCATGCACTCTGAATGATAAAACCATTATTCTTGTAATCTTAAAAGCCTAGAATTTAAGTGGAGAAGGGTGGAGCGGGGGGCCCATTATCCGCCGAGCTTCAAACCTTCTGTGATTACTCGGTTATAAAAAAAGTGCTTCAAAAGTTTGGCCGGGAAGACTGTTTTGTTTCCACTTTTCTGTGGTTCATACATTTTTTCTTTGTATATATTTTTAAAAATTCACTTGGTTTATGGTACCTAGACTAGACTAGGTATAATCTCTTGACTGTCTCTCATGTATTACTGGTGAAATTGCTTATGCAGGTTTACCATTACCTAGGAAATGCAACAACTGGACCGCGGGATCTATACGAAGAAGTGCAATGTTACGTGTGCCATAGCACGGCCGATGACAGTCTCCTGCTGTTGTGCGACCTTTGTGACACTGCTTATCATACTTACTGTGTTGGCCTTGGTGCTACTGTACCTGAGGGTGATTGGTTTTGCGCAGACTGCTCACTTCTGAAGGCTGAACAGGCTCAGGGTGAGATCAAAACTGATTGTGATACTCAAGCTAGTTTCGGTGACCACTGTTTAGCAGAACCAGCAAGACATGTATCTATATATGAAATTGTACGAGAGTCATACACTCCAACTGCTTCCTTGGATGCTACAGACAATTCATCTCGTACTGATACTGGAAGGCAAAGTACTTCTCAAAGCAGCTCGATTGGGTTAGGCTCGCTAGGACAAAATGCTGTTGCAAGACATGCCAATAAGTTCAATGCCAGAACACTGGGGCATTGCCGCAATGTCCATGATAAGATTCGCACATTGCGTAAACATTGGAATGGTTTTCGAAGTGGATCCTTGACATTCTCTTCTAGCAAAATGAGTAATGCTAGTATTGCCAAACAAAAACCAGTGCAGGGCAGCTGTTCTGGTGAACGGCCTTTAGTATCTTGCTCGAGTCAACCAATGACATCACAGTCTCTTGATCAAAATAAACTGGACAGTAAAGGTTCAATAGAGGTGGAGAAGGCGTGGAAAATGATGAATATGGCCAAGGCAATAGAGCAAGGTCGTGACAGGAATAAAAGTTTCCTTCAGGCCTCAAAACATGCTGTTAAGAAGAATACTAGCTGCAAAAAAGCTGGTGAATCAAGCTCAAGGTCTGGCTCACTAAAGATCGAACAGCATCAGCATGCGTGTATTCAAAATGTTGGATCAGGTAGTCAATTCCACAACCATGCTTTTAAGCTGGACAGTAAATTAAAAGGTTCTTCAGGTGTAGATAAAGGTTTTTCAATGGCATGTGGACCATCATACAGTGAACTTGTATCTTCGAAGGAGTCTCAGACTTCAGTTCAGCCCGATATCTGTCATGCGAACAATGGACTAATACAGAAGAATAAGTCGTATGCTGGGTCCACAGAATTGATTTCTTCTGTCAGGTCGACATCAATTTCTACCACTGTAGGTTATGACAAAAAGAACTGTTCTTCCTCGAGTAGCATTGTGAATCCTCCTCAAGAGAAACTCAAGGTCGAAAAGAGTGACATTAAGAACAGAGGTCAGGTGGAATGTGATGCCAAGACTGAGATCCAATCTCTTGTGAAGCTCAACCTAAAAATCCTATGCAGAGATAAAAAGCTCGGTACGACTTTTACTTTGACCTGTAGTTAGCTTATGCATGCATCACTTCATTGCATTTATATGGTAAATAACTATTGTAGTATGATGCATCTGGTCTGAGTTTGCTATTATTTCTTTTTCTTGTATAACTACATATATAAAACAAACGGGACTCCATGCAATACCTTCAATGCGTGTTAATGGGTATGGAATTCATTCACAGTAAGTAAATGTATTCGTCTTTAATACTTTGGTCATTGTTAGCACTTGATTAAGACCAAAGTAAGTTTTTACTGCATGATATTCTATTTTTTTTAGTCTTGATATGATTTTAAGACTTTCATCTGCACAGAAGTTGGTACATTTAAGCAAGTTGCAAGACTAGCGACTCACTCCATCTTAGCTGCGTGTGGTTTGGAGCATCGAAGACCTGGCATTTCTTCCCTTCCAGAATGTGTTTGCATCCATGCCGAGGAAGTTAGAGGACTCAGGAGATCTACTCTAATGCCTAATTCATGCCGAGAATGTTTCTTTTTGTTTGTGAAGAATGTGGTTAATACTATACTGCTCGACAACAGCTGAGAATTGATAATTTATTTTTGGCTAGGCCAAACAACTAAATAGCGACGATCACTAGTTTATAACACAATTGAGCTTCCCTCTCTACTGCTCTAGGGGCAATATAGGCTACAATACCACTGATAGATTAGTTCAATTAGTTGTTATGTTGCGTTTTATCGTATTATAGGATAGAGTGCTCATTTCCTTTGTCAAGTTGTACCTCTGTCAATTCTTATTTGATTTCCTCTTAGTTTAGTGTGACACAAATAAAACCATACAGTACCCATTGAACTGAAGCGCACAAGTTTTTTAGGTTAGGCTGGTTAGTGGACTCTTGACGTGGACTTCACAGTTAGCAGTGTAGACATAATGCTAATGGCCACTTTTGGTACTGTCTTTGGAAAATAGCCATTGTCTCTAAAAATAGCACAAGTAAAATTCTAGGACACTGGTTATTTTCCAATTGCAGATGCTAAGAAGTGACAATTTGATTTTAGGGGTGTTATCACCTTTGGAGCGCTAGAACCTATTTACATTTGATAGCCGAAAGAGTGTGTAAAATTTGTGTGTGTGTATATATATATATATATATATATATATATATATATATATATATATATATATATATATATATATATATATATATATATATAAAAGCTATATTCAATATAATATTACCTAATACACTTATACTTAGTGCATAGTATAGCGTAAGTANGGCAGCGTGTTCAATCAAACGGGTGATTTTCTCTCCGACTACGGATCCCATACTACCCCCCATAAACTGAAAATCCATAACCCCAATTGCTATGGGAATGCCGTTTAGTTGGCCTATGCCTGTTTGAACAGCCTCGGTTAATCCTGTCTTTCTTTGATAAGAATCAATACGATCTTTATAAGGCTCCTCCTCCGAATGAAATTCAATGGGATCCAGAGAGACCATGTCTTCATCCATAGGATCCCAAGTACCCGGATCGATCAAAAGTTCAATTCTATCTGAACTACTCATTTTCAAATGATATCCACATTGTTCACAAATATTCATTTTTGATTTCAAAAATTTCTTATAATTTAATCCATAACAATTTTCGCATTGAACCCACAAATGCCTGTATTTTTGAGTTACCTCGAGATCATTAGAACTTTCTCTTATAGTTAAATCACTGCCCTTCGTGCGAGTTCGTCTACTGGAACCCTCATTTTCACTACTATTTCGACTTTCACCACCACAACTACTATTTCGACTTTCACCACCACAAATGGCCCTATAAATGTAACTGTCACCGTAATTCTCACTACCACTTATAATGGAAGTATCTATACAGAGTTGAGACTGAAGATAACTATCAATGCAACTATTAATGTGATTATTCCAACTATATTGAGTATCATACATGTAAGAATTATAGTAGGGATCTTCGCCCCTAAATCCATTATTCAGATAATTCGAGTTTCGATAACTATAAAAAGAACTTTCTAGTTCACTCAGAAAAGAATGATCGTGTCAATCTCAAAAATCTGATTTTCAATATCAAAATAGATGGAATAACTGTCTCCATTCCTATCACTACTAAAAAAGTGTCATCAGAGATGAAATTCCGAATGTCTTTAACGCCGAATAAATAATCAACATTACTGCAACTAGAATTGTCACGATTCCTCCAACTATGAATTGTTTTTCTACTTTTCGATTTGGATCTTCATTGGTTATTTTCAATAGGACCAAGACTCGCCCATTGATTTTATTTACGCCCACACCTGCGTTCGAACTCCTTACTTAAACAACATCGAATTAAACCACCATCTTTCCATAGTAGTTTTCTTCGCCCCCTATTTGCATGAAAATACAATAGATGAATAGTCATTCGCTATAAAATTATTTAGTTGAATATCTTATTTCTATCAGACTAAGCATAGTTTAAGGTATATGCGTTATAAACTATTTATATAATTGAATTATTTATAAATAATTTGTATTATAAGCATTAATTGCTAGTACAAGAGGTTAAACTACTCTATCAAATAAATAATGTTTGACTAACGTTTTATATAATTTAGAGAAACCATGACGATAACGACTTCACTAAATCCATTGCCGTAATACTAACGGAACGCCTATTAACGACGTTTCCATGGAGCTGTGGTCCCCACCGGCACACAAGACGGCAATTAGAGTGGCAGGTTAACGGCAGGGAATGGGCGCACGTGAGCGGTTGGTCACTTTCACAGCTCACGTGCGTCACGTAGCCTCCCACGTAATCCTAATTTGAACCCGCAAATCTGGGCCTCTTGTTTTGGGCCCACTTCAACCTTCAGGAACCGTCCCATCCCATCCCATCCCATCCCATCATGCCATTATATTTCGACCACCTCCCAGTCACATGTCATAATCCTCACCCTCTAAAGTACAAATTCTAGTGTAGATATCACGAGTAATTTTATTCTGTGCCTCACGCAACTAATATTAGTTGTGCGAGGTCTCTTTTTATCTTACATATTTGTGGACTCATATCTTATACATATTGGTCCACAAAATTTTGGAACTCACACAGCTGTAAGACAAAAAAGATGCGCCACACAAATAGTATCAATTGTGTGCGGCACAAAATAAAAAATTTCGGATATCACCTATGCATTAGACAAAATTGGACTGGAATTTGGAAAAAAATTATAAACTAAAATTAGAAGGATATTTGTGAAAATTTTAGTTTAATGGTACTCCCTCCGTTTCAAATTAAATGACGTAGTTTGACTCGGCACGGAGCTTAAGGAAAAAAAGAAAGACTTTTGAAATTTGTGGTCTTAAAAGCTTAAGAGGTAAAGCTTTGTGGGGCTATGACTTTTGTGTGGTTATAAAAGCTTCTCATTAAGGGAAAATGAGTAAAATGAGGAGTTTAAAGTTGAATTATTTCCAAATTTAGAAATGTGTCATTTAATTTAGAAAAAACTAAAAAGTACCTCATTTAATATGAAGCGGAGGGAGGATCATTTAGTGCTTTTACCTTAAAACGTGAATTCAATTATCACTTTATCAATCTCCACTCGAGAATGTGGCTAATGATACGAAGTGTATTGAAAAACTTAAGGTCTTATATTTAAATTTCAGCGATGGTAAAAATATTAGGTAGGCTATTATTTGTTACTTTATTATTTATTGTTTCTTGAGCTGAGAATATATTAAAAATAGCTTTTTTACTTTCGCAAGATAAGAGTTAAGTCAACGTATACACTATCCTTCCTAGATCCCACATATGAGATTATTATTGTTATTGTAAAAATATATAGTAATTTTTTATTATTTATTCAAGCTTCGATTGATAGAATTATTCAATATTTGCGTTGATGCAAAGAAATGGGTACTAGTAGCATACACATGATTTTTTTGGAAGTGGTATCTACATTTAAATAAATAAATAAATTACTACAGTGACAAACAATGTCATTTGTATGTTTATACTTAATATTTTATTAATTTTATTATCTATATATACATATCTAATAAAGTGACACCGCTTGAAGCGAGGATCCCAAAAAAGATGATACTTTTACGATTGTGAGATTTAAACTTCTTAATTACCATGCATTCATACATCAAATCAAAAAAATTTTAAATAAAATTTATATATTTAAAAAATCATTACAAAAATAGTTTAAGTCACAATATTGACAACTCAAAATATTTAAATATTCTTGATAAAAAATTAACTTAATTGGCTCTAGAAATCCGGAAACATCCTACCTTTTTTGGACGGAGGGAGTAACTATACGAGTTCAAAGGTACAATTCCACCAAAAAGAAAAGAAAAAAGAGGGGGCTATATTATATTACACATTAAAAATTTAAAATGGAAAAAGAAATAGATCTTGTATTCACAGGTGGGACCAGCCAATCAACAGCATGAGTTGGCCACGTGAATTGGGAGGCGGAACAGATGCGGTAAGTAAACATTTTTTATCACGTGACTTTCCCGCAATTCACGGGTTACATGACACGTTTGAAGTACGCGCTTGTTTTCTTATTTTAAAATTTTAAAATAAAAAAATAAATAAAGGGTAGTCATATTAATTACGTACTGAATAGTATTAATAAATAATCCTCCGACCGTCCTAAGAGAAAAAATATTGTTAACTGATCCCTATAATGATACCTTAAGCAGAGAATGTGTGCAACAGCCAACACGGCAGCTAAAGAAGCTTCTTCAACTCTACAATTATATTCATTGGAATTAAATATAATTCACCATTAAAACTAATGGTATTATTAAAGTAAACTAATCATTGAAGCTTCTTCTGGTACACTGGATATTTCTCTATTGTTATCCGTAAATATATTTAATCGTCATTTCATTTGCATGATATAAATTATAATCGCCTATGTACCTTTAACCTTGTGATTTCCGTATTTACTATGAGAAGATAATGAGCTATGGAAGTTAACCTTAATCATTGTTCTATAATTGGATAAGAGGTATGGTATTATTAATGGCACTTGTTTGGAATTGTATGGTTTTGTTGGTATGTCAAAACTTTTAAATCCCCAAGTCACAAGACTACAAGTATTGTAGGAGTAGTATTCTTTGATTTGTCGTTTTATGAAGAAGCACGTGATTTGCAGTGTCAAACTCAGGTGTCCCACCGTTTTGTACATAATTTGTGACCGCACTTTTCCTTGTGCACTGTTTGGATTTATCCTAATTCTCCGTTCACGAACTATAGTTATCCAAAATGCGGTTGCATAATGTATTTTTAAAGAATCCGACACGCATTTAACAATATTTTTAGAGAATTCGAACAACCTAACTATTGTTTCCCCAAGGATGAAGAAACTTCTTGGAGGATGAGGAATTCATAGAGACTAAAAAAAACATGGGTCAATGTATTTGACTAAAAAAAGATTTTTCGGTCAAAGACAACGTCTAGAAGAGATCGGGTTACTGATAATCAAGATTTACTTCACTTTCTTAATAATTTGAAGAATAAATCAAGGAATGGAAATAGTTACAAAGAAAATATGAAACAACTGATAACCACTCCCAAAATTATGGTTTAGAACCTTGAGAATAAAGTAAATAATGATTGCATAAATTTAAATAATTATCCGATGCCATTACAAATGAGTTTTCAGTCTTTATATAGGAGCATACAATTATAACAGTTCCTTTACTTAATTCAGGCTGACTAATGGTATTAATTGCCTTGATTGCCCATTACCATATACAATTGTAACGGAAATATTTATGGCTAAAGATTTTTTGTAACCGTACCGAATTCCCTTTCTATTTATGACATGTTTGTGT